TCTCTCTCTCTCTCTCTCTCTCTCTCTCTCTCTCTCTCTCTCTCTCTCTCTCTCTCTTTCTGCTTGGCAAGGTACCCGTCGATGGTACTCGAAATGCAACAACAATTCAGAACTCACTTTCTTCAGTATCCTCGCTTTGCTTCTGCCGATCGAAGGAGGCGGCAATCAGTCGATCGCCCCTGCCCAGTCAGCAACTCACTCAATCGTCCCCCGATCTTATCCAGATCGTATCCACAACTGGCATTTCCCGCACCTCGCACGACACATCCATTCTTCAGAACGCGGTGAGGGCGAGATACAGTATTATGCACAGTATCCCCGAGCTCGTGGAAAACGACGAAGACTCTTGAGCTCTCGACGGCGGTCCCGAGATCCCCGCGCAATGGTCCTGACTGGACTGCAGCGATGTACAAACGATAGGCACCCCCAAACAAAGGGTAATTCTCGAAGCATAAGTCATACAGTAAGTTCGACAAGTGAATACGTAGAGAGATCAAGAAGTCGAGTGCAATTACCGAGGTGAGCGATGTCAAAAAAATGGAACGGTAAAGAAACGCAATACCAGTGTGCGTGTGCGGCTCAAACTACCACCGTGCTAGGCATTCATCAAGATCTGGCCTGAATAACTGACCACGTCCTCAATTAGCTCCCCTCTCACTCCGATGGCTTCCCTTGTGTACATAGCTACTATGGAAGTAATCACTAATTAAGTTAATTGATCAATCAACTCATCAACACCTGCAGGTCACATTCAAAATCAAGATTAAAATCAAGATTACCCAGTGAAATGAGTAGATAATACGTGAAGATACCATTCATACATCTCGACAAAATTAATCAATCAACCAATCAACCACCTCAATCAAACATTCAATCAATCAATCAATCAATCAATCAAAGAATTGGCCAATCAATTATTCAGCCAGCCAGTCGATAACTCCCAATGAACGAGGAGTCCATAGGATGTCCTTCAGTCGCGATTCCTTGAACCCATCTACGGATCGGTCGGTCTCGATTCCCTGCGAACCATCCATCGTCCGATCGCCGCAGCCCAGACAATCAACGGACGGATTGCCGTTACCGCCTCCTCCCAATTTCACAGCTGAAAGTTTTTACTGATATAATTATTATATATATTATATAATACAGTAAAGTAATAAAATTGGCTCCCGGCTCAGGTGTGCCCTTCCCCCTTCTCCAACCTCGCGCCTCTCCTCCGTCTACCTTCCTCACCCTCTCTTCTGCTCCTTGCCGCGCTACCTGTCCACGTTGCCACTACTCCCCGCCTCCCTCACCTCTCTCTCCTAAATACAACTCCCGCCACTCGTGCTATCTCCTATCGCACAATCCCTTCAAGAACCTATCAGGCACTTCATCCTTCCCGCCTTTCTTTTCGATCCTTCCCGCCTTTTTTTTCCAAATATCCGTTACTCCCGCCATGACTTGCGTTGTACTAACAACTGGTTAATTCTGGTGGCCACCGCTTGCAAGATTCAATTGAGATTGAGCCCGCGGCCCTCCCTACCTACCTCTCCCTCCCTCAAACTCTCCTGCCATCGCTTGAAAGAGCCCGCGGCCCTGTCACGGCGCTCCTCCCTCGCGCGCGACCGAAAGAACGAATGCCCCGCCGGTCTCGACCAGACCAGACCGACCGACCGACCAACCGACAGACGAGGCGGGCCAAAGTCACACACTCGCACAGTCGTCGCCCGCCAACGGAGATCCAAGGAACAGATCGCGACTGAAAAAAAAACAAATATACAACAAACAAACATGCCAGAAAAGGGAAGTGAGGGAACTGAACGGGAATTGAACAGAACCGATAACTAATTCTCTCTCTCTCTCTCTCTCTCTCTCTCTCTCTCTCTCTCTCTCTCTCTCTCTCTCTCTCTCTCTCTCTCTCTCTCNCACACACACACACACACACACACACACACACACACACACACACACACACACACACACACTCTCACGCGCAAACATAGTTCTCCAATAAACGACTAGTTGCTGACACAGAAACAGGAAATCGATGCCACATACCCGACACCCAAACGAAAACGCTGTGACATCAAACTCAAAACGTTTTCACATCAAGGCTCGGGAAAGAAAACTCAAAACGTTTTTACATCAGGCTCGGGAAAGAAAACTATTTTCGTTCTTTTTCTAAATCAAAACAGCAAACGTTTTTACATCAGGCTCGGGAAAGAAAACTCAAAACGGAACCTCGTCCTCTCCTGCCCCTCCTCTCTCTCTCTCTCTCTCTCTCTCTCTCTCTCTCTCTCTCTCTCTCTCTCTCTCTCTCTCTCTCTCTCTCTCTCTTACCTTCTCCCTTCCGTCTGTTCTCGATTCTATCTTTCAACTTGTGCCCTCCAGCCCCCCTCCCGTTCTTCCCCCCACTAATCCGCTTTTCCCCATGCTCTTCTCTCCTCGTCCTGTCTGTCGCTTCTCTCTTCCCCTGCCTCTGCTCCCTCTGGATGCTCTTCGAGCTCCTACTCCTCCACGCGACACGGCCCCTGCGGATCTGGTATTTCCTTTCTTCTCTTCCTCCGTCTGCCACTGTTTCTCTCGTCATTGCTCTCCTCCATCACATGTGTATCCACATTTACCCTATCCTTCTCGTGATTCAGGTTCTTTATCATTACCCTGCTCTCTCCTTTCCTTACAACCTGCCCCCCTTCCTCCACGCTAAGCTCCTCTCCCTGCCTTCCAGTCTCTTCTTCGCCGCCTTGTCCGGATCCCCATCCACGACCTCCATGACTTACCCCGCTGCCTTGCCTTGGCGTTCTTTCTCCTATACTTCATCGGTCCCCACATCCTCACCCTTATTGGCTCACAATCCCGCCTCCTCCTCCTCCTCCTCCTCTCGTTCCCACATCATCCCGATCGCCCCTCATGATCCCTACATCCTCACCCTGATTGGCTGACATCCTGACCTCCTCTCCTCCTCTCGATCGCACATCATCCTTATCGCATCCCCCCCCCTCGCCCCCTCCTCCTCTTTCAATCCGCGCTCTTCGGAAATATTGGATCCCCAACTGCGTCCTCCTACCAGTTATTTTAGGATCGCCCATTGGCAGAGGTATTTTTGTGCCGGTATAATCTGGGTTTATTGGGGTTCAGGTAGAGATCATCTAAAAAAATAATGATTTCTTTCCCGTTCCTCTTTTGTTTTTGTTAATTCTGCTCATCCCATTGCATTTGGATTCGATGCTTGGGTCTACATTTCAACAGTCGATCGGTATACCAACTGAGCAAGGCCCGCTAGTATTCGGGTTCTCTTAGGTTTGTCTCCGCTTTATAGATTTTCGGATTTTCGTCAGGGTGAATTCCTCGAGGTTCAAGTCTGTCCATTCATTACCAATCCCCTGGGGTACATAATGTTTTTTCCCACGATAAAAGATCTGCAACCTCAATTCCCGAAGTAAGTAATATCGAAGGCCAGAGATCATCTGACAAACCACGTTTCAGAAATAAAAAGTTCTGCTTTCTCACGATTGCCGGAATTACTATTATTTTGGCCTTCCGTAATTTTTTTTTTAGTTTTTTTTTTTTTGGCAGCAGAAAGAAGCGGCGATGTGTTCTCGGCAAGTCCGCAACAGTAAAATTACAATCAAACACACACGCAAAAAAAGACCCTCGGTAATTCTATTCTGAATTTCTGAGGATTCTTTTGTTTTTTTCCTTCTTATTATTATATTTGACTCGCTCGTAGGGTGGCAGTGTATTGGTGGGCCGTAAGGCGCTGGGCTAGTGGCAAGCCTCCTGATGAGACCGGAGCGCACCCGGTTTATTAACGTAGAGGAACGCGTGCGCGATGATTCCAGCTTGTTGTACACGCTGGATTCACTAATGAAATCTTGTTTTTGCATGTCAAGAGCAATCGGCCCTTGCTTGTCTATCTTCTTCTTATTATATTTGGTTTTTTACTCATCAATCAAGTTCCATCATCTAGGTTCGGACACGGGTCTGTATTTCAGCAGCTGAATGGTGTACCCACTGAGCTAGGCTCTGAGGATTCTATTCTGGTTTTGAGCCGGGTGATTCGATCCTCGTTATCATCTGGTTTAGCGTTGCATGCTATCTTTGATCAGATATATATACGTAAGCAGATCATCATCTCGGTTTCTGATGAGTCGATTCAGATTATCATTGGGTTTCATCCTCACCTACTAGTCAGTCCTGAAAGTCCTGATTCGCTCGGAATTATCACGTGTATAGTATCAATTTGGATTTTACTTGAGTTCAAAAGGGATGCTGGATTTGTTTCTCAGCCAGGTGCGACTTGCTCCCTGAACCTGAAGCCGGGTAATGGCCCCGGAATCATCTCTGTATTCCATGGGCACTGGGCATGTTCTAATCGAGCCCTCGGGCACTGGACCCCCTTTTGCAAAACAGACAAGTCTCCTAGGCGTCCACAACCTCATCGAGGAGGGCAATCTTACCTTGTATGCCTCACCCTATCGCGGTGCCGCCGCATCCAGATCCCGACCGACCAAATCCCGTTCCTCTCATCCTCCTGATCCTGCATTCCGATCCTCCCCGTTCGCCCTTCTCCTGCTACTCCAGCCCCTCAGGATTTGGATGGCGGCTACCTTCTCCTCTCCCTGTTCCTCGATCCCAAGGCGCAGGCCCCTCTCACTCTCCTCATTGCCTGGCCAGCCACCTGACCCCCCTTAGGTTTCCTTCGCCCCCTGCCTCTCAGCATTCACGGCGTGATCCCTGCGAGGTCCTTCCGATATCGGCCGTGCACGAATCCTGTCCCGCTTGCAACATAGATCCCCCACAACAGAATGAGCTTGCAGCTCTCAACAAGGAATGGATGGATGGAGGGAACGAGGAGTGTAGGGAGGGAGGGCGCGAGAGAGACGGGGCTGCTCTTCGCCACGCCGCGCGAACCCCCCCATTTCATATTTCGTTTTCGGGCCGAGCGTAAACGGACCTGTCTACCTCTTCACGCATAACATAGTCGAGAAGAAAGGACACAGAAATCAAGAAAAGAGAGAGAGAGAGAGTGAGAGAGAGAGAGAGAGTGCACTTCTCCACGCGGAGCGAACTTACCTATTTGTTTTTTTTTAGGCCGTCTTCACGCACAACACCGACAAGGGAGAGCGGGTGCAGTTCCGCGGGCCGGTTTGCAAGCAGCCGTACTCTCCTCGGCGAACCTGCCGCTTCCTCTCTGGGCGGCGCCGACCAGAATCTGGGCTGCGCGGAAACGGGCGTGCTGAAGTGCACTGAGAACGCTACGAGATGTTTACTGTTTTTGTTTCAGACGAATTTGCAATATACCCCCCCAAGATAAGGGGAGTTTAGAAGGGAGGGTAATGGTAGACAAGGGCCGGGTCTGTCGCCCCCACGCCCCTAAAATTGCAAAAAGCAATTGGCCTGGCTCAGTTGCTCAGTCAATTCCCGCTGACCACCTACCGGTAGGGCTACTTGGTCTGCACCAACTGAGATAGTTGGTCCCCCACACACCTAAAATAGTAAAACCCAAATTTATTTTAAACAGCCTTGCAGAAAGTTTTTGTCGCCACAAGATCGGCATTGAGCAGAGTCTGCTGATGTTCGTAGTGGAGGGGACCTGAGGGGAGGCACAGGGATTGGTCCTGTTGGCATGGTCCCTGATGCTACTGGCTGTTCCCCAGCTGGTATCGCCCACCTGCAGGTCGGGAGCAGCCCCCGCATGTTCTCTCGTGAACACGGTTCTGGCTGCTACGGGGTTCCCGTATGCCTACAATTAGGAGTAGTGGTGGGTAGGTAGTGTGAGGTGAAATTGAGAGAAGAACATAGCTTTAAAAAAAAAAAAAAAAAAACCTCGGAGGGGCCGTAAATACAAAGAGATTCAAATCCAAAGGAAGATTGCCAACTTGGACAAAAATGAAACGGACTGCCACTTTTGGGGAATTGTTAAACTCAGGAGAAAGAACAGATTACTACAAGAATGGCAAAACATGCAAATAGCAAATCATAACTTATGGACCAAATGTAGACAAGTATATAAAATACTACCAGTACTTGGCCCAGCTATGGATGTCAAGCCTGGAATGCCCCTGAGCGCCAATTTTCTCCAAGCGCCGGGGTACCGTTCGAAAAAATTTTGGCTGGCGCTTCCAGCCATTGTGGTCCGGTACCCCGAAGCCCTAAAGGCATGGCGCGTTAAGGGGAAGCACCGCGGCCGATAGCTGGGCCAAGTACTGGTGGTTTAACAGCAAAACCTCTAACGCCATCCACCACCTACAAAATAATACTCTCATCACACCTCTCTCACCCGGACAAACCCAACCTGCCCCCCTCGCAAGGACCCCGCTAATCTCTGTGAATGTGTAAAAATCTTCTATGAATAACTCTTAACCTCATTAAAAAAAAAAACGATTCTCTGATCATAACCCCCCACCTTGAGGAGCTACTTTGGGGCTCTACGAGTCGTATTCTCTCGGATATGGAATCCTCTTTATTCGAAGACCCAATCACTATGACTGAACTCACAGCAGCGCAGCATGGCCAAAGGGAAATACCTAGGACCGGACGGCTGTGTGGAATGCTCTACTCATGTGCCCGTTCACATTCAAACCTGTCGATAAGACTTGGTCTTGTGTCCTCAAGGAATGGGGGAAGATGCTTCCCTAACTACTTGAGGACCCCATCTCCAAGGTAGAGATCCTCAACACCTGTCTCTTTGACAACCCTGCGATCAGGGACAAGGACGGGTTTCCGTTCTCAGTGGCGAAATCAACTGGCAACTTCGGTTTCAACTGGATGCAAAAGGGTATCTGGCAAATCGAGCACATTTGGGATTAAGATTCTAAGGCATGAAAAACAGTGAAGGATTTGGGACCAGCACTCACGGGCTTACACCATACACATGAACATTTGTCTGCCTTAACCGAAGCCATCCCAATGAATTGGATGACCACATAGTCTGAGGCTGGGAATGTTTTCAGAGAGTAGCAATGGTTCAAATCCTCAACTGCAGTAAACACCTTTTTCATAGTAGACAATATTAATGAAGATGGATCGTTGGAAGCTTTATAATGGACTCTTAAGGACTCAAGATTGTTTCAGATCAAGGATCAAGCATGTATCTCACTTGCAGGGATGAAGGAGATCAAGGTCACATAAAATAAATCATCGAACAACTCGTCCTCCTTCCAGGTCGTCATGCAGGCCCTTTCTATTGGGAGCTGGAAGATTGATATGTGCGAGTATGGATGGCTGGTATCCAACGGGACTGGTACATCTACCAAGATCCCCATCCCATAATACTTTGCTAAAGTGGGCCACGACTTCCACTCAGACCTTGAAACTTTGCAAGCAGGGTTCTCCCTCAGTTGGCATCAAAAGTCTTTCACACTCAACCTCCACCCTATCTCACCTAAGTGGCTTCTATTCTTAATCCACATTCCCCTTTTCTCAATAGAAACTAAAATAGGAGGGCTACAATAGTTACATCTACACTCTTGTATTCCTACTGCTCTATGGTGCTCAAAGAAAGGGATGAATGTTAGTGTCGTTTGTGATATCTACCCCTACTAAAGTCTAAAAGACTAGTTGCATCTCTGGTGGGAGTGTGTCATTGCCAGGGGATTCTGGGACCTACTCAATAAGTGGTGGTCCCAAGCCTATAACGTAATAGATTTATGGAGCCAAAGCATGGTTTTCATAGGTAGAATGAAACTAGGTCTACAAAAGTTGCAGGTCGGGAAGATTTCTCACTTCTTCAGAGTCCGGGTATTTTGGCAGATGGATAGTCAGGAAACACAAAAGGTTTTTTAACACAAAAACCCCACCCCCCTCTCTGTTTGCCCAATATAAGTATGTAATGCGTTTAAACATAACGGCAAACTGGTAAATAATTAGGAATAACTTCACTTCTACATATTTGACTAGAATTACATTCCCGAAAAAAATGGACCTCTCCTTTCGAATAGGCGACCATCTCTGAAACACATAAGTTAATCTACTCAGTTTTACTGTGGGATCATCCCTCCATCATACCTTATCCATAAAGTTCTATTAGGCAGTGGGTTTCTCATGAAAGGGTCTGATGTCGGGAAGTGGCTCAATATTTTTTCCTCTCTACTTTATGATATTCCTTATTTATATGAAGAAAAAAAAAACTCAAATAGACCGCTATGCGAGGTGCCATTGAAAAAAAAATCAGTGGCCTTTCAAGTTTTTGCAGGTTTCATGCTGACACCCGCGGGCAAATGTATGGTGAACTGGTGGTTCTAGGGCTGGACCCTGTCATCCCTAGTCGTAAAAGGAGAA